CCCTGAGACTATTGCCCTGGGATACCCTTTAAACTTGGAACTCAAACCACTCCTGGAGGTCACCTATTAGCCAAAAGACATAGTGGTCTGTAAAATAAATAATATCACCTGTGAATACTGTGCTCCTCTAAACAATCATCTCAATGAGACCTAATGGTCAACATTTACCCTAGACCAAAGATGAGAAGGTAAGATAGGACAAGGAAGCTTGATGAATGAAAACAGAACAACAGAATGGAAATAATGAGAATGCTGACACATTGTGAAAAGTGCAACCAATATGTTAATATGTATATGTATAGAAATTGTTAAAGGAGAATCTAATGTAAATTTTCTCCAAAATCACAATAAAATATTTTAAAAAAGAAATTCAGATACGGAGCATTCTGGGAGTTTGAGGGGAAGCGAAATGTTGAGAAGTGTGAGGTTCAGCACTAGTTGCGGTAAAGGAAATGAAACGGGGAAGAGCTGAGCAGGGTGCCTGCTGTGCAGCAATAAGGGAGAGCTGAAGTTCACCTCTGCACGGGCACAAGTGCCCAACTGTCATCTCTTGTTGCAACACTGGCCCTCCTCTGCCCCCAGTTTCCTGATTCTTTTTTTCTTACCCTGACCACCACAAAATAGTATGTCAGAGCTAGAGAGGGCTTGTTGGATCATCTGGCCCCAGCTCATTTTCCAGCAGCCCAGAGATATTCAGTGACGTGAAGTAACATTACCAGAGGTGGCTGGGGACCTGGTTTCTGAATGATGATATCATACCTTTGCACCCAACAGCTCTATCTTAGATGTTTAGGAACAAAACGGTGAACTGTGAGCAGGATGACAGGATGGTAGATACAGTTTATCCCTGAATTAATGCTGATTAATGTATCTTTGCCAGCCTGGAGGGAGGTCCCTTATGGTAGTACTTTTTTAGTGACATGTTGGATAAGGACATAGATGTCATTCTCAAAATTGAAGATAACTAACACGATTGGGAGTGGTACTGGGTGATGGAATCTGGATCTAAACATAGTTTGATGGGCTAAATTGTTGGGCCAGATTCGACCAGATGGTCTTTAATAGGGATAAAGGTTGAGTTTGATTCTTTGGTCCCCAGATAATCATCTGCATGTTAGCAAGATGTGTGAGAGGTGGAATAACAACAGTGTGTGAAGACACGGGGATTCTGGTTGGCACAGCATCAGTGAGTCGACCCTGTGATCTGCTTGCCAAAGGCACTAATGTAACACAGAGCTGCACTAGGCAAGCTTTAGAATGATGGAGCTCATAGATTCTAGACTCTTATAGTCAGGCCCTGTTGGGAGTGTGTGGTCAGTTTTAAGAGGGACATGGACAAACCATAAGGTCCAGAGGAAGAAATCAAGATGGTGAGGAGAGACTGTTTCCAAAGAGAAGAACTGGGAAAGAAGACTAAAGAAGCCAATGATAATGGTATTTAAAGTCCTGAAGGGGTGGTGGTCAATCAACTACATCGATTCTGTGTATCTTGAGACCAAAGAACAAAGAACGGTGAGTGGATATAGATTAAATAATTATAGTGAATGATTAAATAATTATTCTAATAATTAAAGCTGTCCAAAGGTGAAATGGGCTTCAATGGGTCGTGGTGAGTTTGCCATCATGGGAAATAATCAAGCATATGCTGGTCAACTACTTTGTGAGAATGTGGTAAAGGACATTCAAGGGCTACAATCTCCCAATCCTGATATTCTGAAAGTTTCGAATCCCTGGAATGGACCAGAGGGCTAGAATGACTCAAAGCCCAGGAAGGTCCTTCACACTGTCCATTTCCCCAGAGTCCTAGGGTTCCTTGGACACTTGCTCTGGGCTCTCAGATTCTTTCTTTCCTCCCTGCTCCAGTTTCTTGAGAATGGCTGGGAGAATTCCTTTATGGCTGATGCCACCATATGCTCATAGAACACTTCCTGGCTGGGGAGGAGGGGGGAACAGGCCAGTTGGTAAAAGAGGAGGGCAGGGCCCCAAGTCTGGACCCAAAAGACAGAGGGCCCCAGAAGGACAGTCCCAACAATACAGTATCCTATTTCACCCAGGGTGTAGTGGGTGCTGACTCAGATTGGTGTACTTGGGGGAAGAGATGCAGAAAACGCATCCAGGAAATGGTGCTGAAAAGCTGGAAAAACTTCTTCAGTTAGAACTAGAGCCTCTGTTACAGAAGCTGGGCACTGCACAGTGATTGGTGAAAATGATGGCAATGCCTTAAAATTGCCCAGAGCAGTGATGGGGCTGGGAACATGGCCAAGAAGCTTACTGCCTGGCACAACCTGAAGAACAACCATCACGACACAACTTCAGGGGGTGCCACCACATTAGGGTTAGGGCATATACAACTTGAATAGTGCCTCCTGGAGTTGTGCCAGGAGGCAGCAGCCCTGAAATTCTTTGCCGCAGAGAGAAACAGAAGCCTTGGAATGAGGTAAGACTGTGGAGGCCTGGGGAAGGATAGGGCACTGCGGCTGGTAGGTGAGCACAGGCGACAAAAGGCCAGTCCCAGGAAAGAGGAGATGCT